TGAGGACCAACTTAAGCTACAAAGAGAGTGTGAACAAGACCGTCAAAGAAGGAGACAAAAGGCGGTCGACCCTGGCAACGGCTCCACCCCTGCAAGTGAGTCATTGACCAAGGATCAAGGAAGCACACCTAGTGTGACGCGTGAGAAATCACTTACGCCACCTACCACTAGGAAGCAAAACATGATCATTAAGGCCAAGGACGTTAGGAAAGTTGTCAATTCTGATCAGCCCGTCCTTCTCATGATTTGCAAACATGTGCTTTTAGATGTTGCTGAACTCGATAAGGCATTGCCTGCGAGTATGGTTGTTCTTTTGCAGGAATTTGAGGATGTTTTCCCCGACGAAGTCCCTGATGGCTTACCACCTATTCGAGGGATTGAGCACCAAATCGACCTCATTCCTGGGGCACCACTACCCAACAAACCTGCCTACCGCATGGGTCCTGAAGAGACCAAGGAGCTGCAAAGGCAAGTTGATGGCCTCTTAGGTAAAGGTTGGGTAAAGGAAAGTCTAAGTCCTTGTGCTGTGCCAGTGATACTTGTGCCCAAAAAGGACGGTACTTGGCGTATGTGCACTGACTGTCGGGCTGTGAACGCTATCACCATCAAATATCGTCATCCCATTCCTAGACTTGATGATATGCTTGATGAACTCGATGGTGCCATTATTTTCACCAAAATTGACTTGAGGAGTGGCTATCATCAGATTCGGATGAAAGAAGGCGACGAGTGGAAAACGGCCTTCAAAACCAAACATGGTCTCTATGAGTGGTTAGTCATGCCGTTTGGCTTAACTAATGCCCCTAGCACCTTCATGCGACTAATGAACCATGTGTTGAGACATTTCATTGGCAAGTTTGTCATTGTTTACTTTGATGACATCCTGATCTATAGCCGTAGTGAGCATGAGCATCTAGAGCATGTGAGATTAGTTCTTGAGACACTTCGACAGGCGCGTCTGTACGCCAACCTCAAGAAGTGCACCTTTTGTACTAACGAGCTTGTGTTTTTAGGCTATGTAGTAAGTTCACAGGGCATCAAGGTGGACAAATCCAAGATTGACGCCATCGAGCAATGGCCAACCCCCACATCCGTCCCTGACGTGCGCAGCTTTCTTGGATTGGCGGGCTTTTACCGGCGATTTGTCAAGAATTTTAGCACTATTGCCGCCCCGTTGACCGCCGTGACAAAGAAGCATGACAAGTTCCTTTGGGGAGAATCACAAGACCAAGCATTTCTCGCCCTCAAGGACACACTAACGCATGCCCCTGTGTTAGCATTACCAAACTTTAACAATACCTTTGAAATTGAATGTGATGCTTCTGGTGTAGGTATTGGCGCAGTCCTAATGCAAGACAAGAGGCCGTGTGCCTTCTTTAGCGAAAAGTTGGGAGGAGCTGCATTGAACTACCCCACGTACGACAAGGAGTTGTACGCCTTAGTGAGGGCCTTGGAGACCTGGCAACATTATCTTCGCCCTCGAGAGTTCGTGATACACACTGATCACGAGTCATTGAAGTACCTCAAAGGGCAACCTAAATTAAGCAAGAGACATGCCAAATGGGTAAGCTTCATTGACACCTTTTCTTATGTGATTAAGTACAAAACTGGCAAGACAAATGTGGTAGCTGATGCCTTGTCACGTAGACACTCCTTGCTTGCCTATCTTGATGCCAAATTGCTTGGGTTCGAAATGATAAAGGACCTCTACACTAATGATCATAACTTTGGTGATATCTATGCCGTGTGTGTTAAGAATCCGCATGGAAAGTACTTTTTGCATGATGGATTTCTATTCCATGTAGATAAACTGTGTGTGCCTAACTCTTCCATTCGTGATCTTTTGATTCGAGAGGCACATTGTGGTGGTCTCATGGGCCACTTCGGCATTGCCAAGACACTGGCTATGTTGCAAGAGCACTTTTACTGGCCCCATATGCGTAGGGATGTTGACCGCATGGTTGGTAGGTGTGCTACTTGCCACAAGGCAAAGTCCAAAACAAATCCATATGGCTTGTATACCCCATTACCTATCCCTCACCATCCCTGGGTTGACTTGTCTATGGACTTTATTCTAGGTTTGCCTAGATCACCAAGAGGTAATGACTCCATCTTTGTGGTGGTTGATAGGTTTTCTAAGATGGCTCATTTTGTTCCATGTCACAAAACTGACGATGCCTCTCATATTGCTACTCTATTCTTCAAAGAAATTGTCCGTCTGCATGGTATGCCTAGGACCATTGTTAGTGATAGGGATGTGAAATTTCTGAGTTATTTTTGGAAGACTCTGTGGTCTAAACTTGGCACCCGGTTACTATTTTCCACCACTAGTCATCCACAAAGCGATGGACAAACTGAAGTTGTCAATCGCACACTTGGCACACTACTTCGGGCATTGATTAAAAAGAATCTTAAGACTTGGGAAGAGTGTTTGCCTCATGTTGAATTCGCCTACAATCGAGTTGTTCATAGTGCTACACACTACTCATCTTTTGAGATTGTTTATGGTTTTAACCCGCTAACCCCTCTTGATTTAGTACCCTTACCTTCCTCTGAGCACACAAGCTTAGATGGGAAAAAGAAGGCCGATTTTGTGCGCAGGTTACATGAAGCTGTTCGAGCAAACATTGAAAGGCGTACTCAGCAATACACCCAGCAGGCTAACAAGCACCGCCGCAAAATGATCTTCGAGCCTGGTGATTGGGTTTGGTTACACTTACGCAAAGAGAGGTTCCCCAAGCAGCGACAAAGCAAATTATCCCCCAGAGGGGATGGACCTTTTCGTGTGCTCCACCGGGTTAATGACAACGCCTACAAATTGGAGCTACCTGGGGAGTACAATGTTAGCGCGACCTTCAATGTCGCAGACTTGAGCCCGTTTCTTGGTGAGGAGGATCCAGTTTGAGGGCAAATCCTTCACAAGAGGAGGGGACTGATGTGTGCATGAACCAGGGCCCAGTCCAAGTCCCATTAGGCCCAGTCACACGTGCACGGGCCAAGCTATTCAAGGAATCCCTCCAAGCCCTTGTTCAAGTTGTCCACGATCAACATGGAGGCTATAGAGATATTGAAGGCTTGGAAAGGATCAATCAAGCAACTTGCACTTTGGTCCAAGCCCAGGAAGACTCTAGTGGGCCTCCTTACGAATCGGCCGAGTAGGGCCTTAGTCGTTGTTTCCATTTTGTTTGGACTAATTGTCCGTAGAAGGCTTGAGGCCGGCCCACCTTGATGACAAGGTAGCCGACCTCCCCTTTAGGTTTCTTTAGGGTTTTTAGTTGTTTCATTAAGCCTATAAATAGGCTAGCCTTGTAAGGTTAAAAACTAGTTTTTGATGAATTAAAATTATTAGTGCATTCGTTTTCTTTCATAAAGAATTCGTGCCTTTCAACTTGCTTGGCAAGGGTTATTGAGCAATCTCGCGTCCTGTCCTTGATTGTTCGTCCGACCTATTCCCCTGGAGTATTCACCTTCATTGGAGTGTCGTCTACCACCTCCAATCAAATCGAGTTGTCCGTTTGAGTAAGGGTTCCGCAATCCAAGCGTTGGACATCCCCGCTAGATCCTTGGGCAAACGTGCTACGTGTCTCGACCGTGGATCGAGGAACGTATCATTCGGACACAAACTAGGATAGTTCTCGTGACACTGCTTTTATCTGCAGACTGAGCAGACAGATTTCACCTCTGTGTACCAGTTTATGTTAGAAAACAATGCCAAAGCTTGAGATCTACATTGTGAATGTGGTGATTCAAACTGTAAATCAGCTGTAGCTTTTGTGCTTATGACATGAGGTAGTAATTCACTGGTTATGGACCTCAATTTGTTTTTCTGTCTCAGACTGCTTGTCTCTCAAGTTAGCTGCAACTTAGTTGCAGAAAAATATTGGTCTGCCTTGTGACTGCCTATTATCCTCCACAAGTAGCTTGCCACCTTTCTTGAAGCTGTATCTTTGCACCATTACATGCAACATGATTTTCTGAGTTTTCATGTTCTCATTCTCCAGTTAAAAATGGCATGTCTAGAATGATTCTGTTACTTAAAGATTTGTTGTTATTCCAATATTACCTGGTCTATATGATGTTGAGTACTACATCTTATGTTAGTAGTCGCTTAACCAAAAATGAAGAATTGCATGAAGTAGTTCTTTTCAATTTTGTTTGGTGTCTTTCTTAGGTTTCGGTATCGTGATTGAAAGTCATAGGTACTTCATAAACATTACCATCGATAGGCGACAGTTACATGTCTTCATTGGAAGCTTGAGTTAATATCTTGTTTCCGTAGTTAATAACCAAATGCACAAGATTTCTTGGATAACCAAAGCAAGTTTTGCATAAAAGAGAAGTGAAACAAAGCAACTAATGAAGTAACAATATAAAAGAAATTAAGATTTGACTTTACTTTGTTTATCATGCATGTCAGCCAACCTGTTGTACATTATGATTTCTAAGATTAGCTCTCTCTTAAAACTCGTGATTTGCATCAGGATGAAATGAGTTCTCTGAACTTTCACCTGTGGAAAATGCAATTGCGTTTTATATTCCATAGCGTATGCAGAAAATTCGTGGAATTTTTTCTCTCTGTCTTTAAATTAGCAATTCTGACCACACTCCTGTCTTCAATACTTTCCAAGCTGATTTTTGTGGTCTCTTGCTTAGACAAACAGAGGTTAGAGTTTTGAAGCTTCTTCAGCACAATCTATATGGCTGGAACTCAATAACTTTTGGCCTGCATTTCCTACAAATAGCGCATCAACGTTTAAAACAACCAGCGGTCTAGTTTTGTTGATTTTACATGTCTGCTTCTGTGGATTGTAAGTTATTGTTGCTAAAGTCAGCTCACTCTATTTGAACTTGTGATTCTAAGGGAAAGAATGGTTTCTCTGAACTTTTAGCTCTTGATAATGAGCTTACATGCTTATCTGAACCATTTGATTAGTAACTGCTCTATCAGAGTCATATATGATGGTTTTCTGAGTCACTTTTCCTTGGTTTTGTTTTTCTAGCCACGAAGACTATGGTCAATCAAGGAGTATTCGCAGCTGTTGGTCATCACTTTCATGTTTTGGTTCAAAAATTCTGGTAATTTTAGATATGCTTCTCTTCTTACACTGCACGATTGTGACTTTTAACCACTTTGATATCTAATATATTATGCACAAAACAAAAGAAATCTAGTCATCCTGAAGATATTTTTGAGGTAGCCAAGGAAGATGTACTGTTCAATCACCTAAAATGTCAAAAATACCCTTATGTAAAGTTAAAAATTATTTATTAACCAAGGGGCGTTATGTGCATATTTTGAAAATCATAAGGGGGTTATATGATAAAATATTAAACCATAAGGGGGTTATATGGTAAAATGTAAAAATCATACGGGATTAATGTGTCATGTATTTATAAGGGTAATTTCGATATTTTTAGAAGTTCCATTACGAGTGACTATTTCCTTCACTTTGACACTTTAATCCAAACCATGAGGGGGTTATGTATAGCTTTTGAAATCATAGGACGGTTATGTAAAAAAATGCTAAATCACAGAGAGATAAAATGTAATTTGCCCGATAATATACAAAGTAGAAGTCGACCCTCAATTTGGTATTTTCTCTATTCTTGGAGGTACTTGTGTTTAAGAAACTTGGAAGTTTGAACAAGCTAGCCAAGAGTCAAAATCCAATGCACACGGAAAACTGTGGAGGAGGTCTCTTTTTCACAAAACCAAGGGCAGGATTTTGGTCCCTTCAAAACAAATAATATATGTTTTAAGTAATGGAGATGACAACACAAACAAGCGATTAAAAGAAAAAGAAGAAGAAGAAGGAAGAAGAAGGAAGAAGAAGAAGAAGAAGAATCCGAGCATGAACCTGGGAAATTTTTTCCAGTGAAAAGACAAGTAACTTCCCTGGGATAAGCATATTATACTTTAGTTAAACAAACTCTTCAAATTTTTCAACACTTAAATCTTGTACATAAAACATAACCAAGACATATTGAGTGTGGAAACTAATTATAAATGGGATAGGAGGCTAATAGAAGAGTGTCAAAACTAATTATAGGTTTTTAAACTACAAAATGGTTATGCGGTAAAACAGCAAACCATAAGAGATGTAAATTGCCCTAATAATTACGCTGTCAGTCTAATTCTCGAGGATAGTTAGTAAGACCAAATCATTTTTTTATAATTTATGTCTGGATTAACAGATGGCATGATTGATGTTGCCAATGTCACCAACTATGATTGTCATTTCCCCTCTTGGGTCATTCCACTATTTCAAGAAGCCTTTGAGAATTAAAATTCTTTAGTGGCCATAAAAGTTACTAAACTAGCAAAAAGGGGATCTTCTAGCCAATGGGTGAAAAGAGCAATTAACAAGAATGAGCGGAAATCTCGGATCTCAGCAGGCAGCTAGGGTTTATCCTAACTAGTGCATGGCGGCCAACGGGTCGTCGGAGTCGTCTCCAGAGGGAGGGCCGCCGCAGGGCAGGTCGTTTGCGGCGGTTGTCTCAGGTAGGGCTGCGGTTGCAGCCTCAGGTGCGTTGGGGGAGGTCTCCACCTTCAGGGGAGAACCTGCTCTCCGCCTCTCCAAACAGGACATCGCCAAGCTTGCCGAACCTTTCCAGAATGCTCTTGTTGGGAGGTTTGCGTTCACCAGGCCTTCAATGGAACTCATCAGAAAGTTCATCACATCTCTAGGCCTTAAAGGGGAGTGTGCGGTGGGATTGCTGGATCAAAAACATGTGCTGCTTCGGCCGGCGTTGGAGGAAGATTACACCAGGCTTTTCGCAAGGAGGGTGTGGTACGTACGCAGTTCTCCGATGTCAATATCCAAATGGTCTTTGGAGTTCAAAGCAAATCAGGAGTTGGCAATTGCTCCGGTGTGGGTGGCCTTTCCTGAGTTGCCCCTACCCTTTTTTCAAAAACAACAACTGCTGCGGCTTGCTGCAACATTGGGGAGGCCGTTGCGAGTAGACGCTGCTACCAGTGACCTTAGGCGCCCCTCGGTAGCGCGGGTACTGGTGGAGCTCTGCATCTCGGCGCCGCCAGTGCAGCGGGTCTGGATAGGTGACGATAACTATGGGTTTTGGCAGCCGGTGGAGTTGGAGGGATTGCCTGAGTACTGCTCCTATTGTAGTATGTTTGGCCACGGGGTTGGTTCGTGCTTTCGGAAGGACCCATCTCTGCGGCCAGTGGCTAATGGCCAGCAGCAGCGGCGGAGATATGTTCCACGGGTGATTTCAGAAATGGGAAGGATGGCGGTGACAGCAGGTCCACAGCGTCTCCTTCAGCAACCAGATGCGGTTGGCGAGGGTACGACAGCAGCTATCGAGGAGACAAACGGCAATGAGGAGTTGGACAAGATAACTTTGGGAGATGCGGTGACTCCCACGGAGAGGCCTGGGGCTCCTACTCTGACTCCGGAGGTGCAGCGACCTGGGGGCAATGCCTTAGAGGAAGCTCTGGAAAGCGCGCTGGAAGAGGGCGAGTTGCGGGTTGAGCATCCATCGGCAGGGACTGTCGTCTTGACCCAACCCCAGCAGCCTGGGTTGGCTGTCGCTGCGTTAGTAGAGGAGACCATTGTTTCTACCGCAGGTGAAATCATTCATAAGTTGGCTGATCAGGTGGTTCGGGAAACAGAAGAGATGCGGTCGGTACAGCCCCAAGCTACGAACCAACTTGATGAGGGGGAATTCACTGAGTCGGAGGCTGAGGATGGCCATTCACCAGCTAATGGAACCTTCACAGTGGCTGCATCGACAGAGAAGGCGATGGAACGTAAGCAAATTACATCTAAGGTGGGAAACGATGCACTTGGGAAGGTAGCCAAAAGTCATGATCCACATAATGTGGTATTAGTTGGAGCCACACCCCTTGTGGGTACAATTACAAGAACAGAAACGGAAAAGTCCCGGTTTGAAAATGTGCCACAGTTTAAAGATGTGTTCGAAGAGTTTCAATGGGAGAAATTACATGGGAAGATTCCTCTCGTTCATCTAAAACCTTTTCTTCATTCAGGTACAAATGATAACCAAAATGGAGAGGGAAAGGATGATTCACAACGTGATAAAGACGAATATCACGACCAGACTCTAATTCACGAGCAGTTTACCCAAGTGATATCAAAGAAAACGAGGAAGCAGCTCTCAAAGCAAGGTAAAACAATGCAAACACGTCAAGATGTTAAACCAAAGGCCCATACTCACGCACAGTCTCACAAATGTGGGGCTCCCTCGTGTGGTTGATTTCGTTCGTGTGTTTTTTTTACTTCAACAGTGGTCAGGTTTGGCCCCCTCTAATTTGTCAAATGTGTAAGAAGCCTTTGGATCGATTACGAAAGACCGCAGTGAAATTGCCAAGCATCTTCTGTGGAATTAATAGCATCCAAATTTGTCATGCAACTATTAATTTACATGAAGTCAATTCTATCCTTATGTCGTAAGAATTAACAAATTAGATTAAAAAAAGGGTTAAATATAAAATAGCTCCTTGTGATTAAGCAAATGTTTACATTAACTCCCTGTGGATTAGAAACCTACATTTTCCCTCCTTATGGAAATTGCGAAAGTGAAAGTATTAAATTTTCCATCAAATTTAACAGTCAAAGGAAGATAGTCAAACTTTTTAAATGAAATAATAATAAGATTACTAAGTCACCCTTTAAAACATTTTGGGTTATAAGAGAATTTTATATTTGGCATTAGTTGAATAGTACTAATTTATGATTGCCATTTTCCCTTTCTTTTTTCCATTTTTGTCGCATTTTAAATCCTTGATTGTCATATTTTATGCAACCCAAGGCTCCCCGCATGTGGATCAAAAGCAAATGAAGGCTGATGAGTGCATATTTTGTGTGTTTTAAGTGTGTTTTATTAATTGGTCTTGGTATGGTTTAGTCATTTTTATAGCTAATGAATAGTGACAATGTGAATTTTATGGTTTAAATTGTGAAAATTGCATTTCTACATGTTTAAATGTTGAAAATTTCATGTTTTTATTGAGAAGATATTTGGATGATTATTGATGATTTGAAGTGATTTAAAGAAAACATGAAGTGTAAAATGTTCAATGGAAGAAATGCAAGTTTGACAGCATTGACATTTGTTCGTATTTTGGCAATATCCTGAGCTATAATCATTGGATTGAGATGATTATTGAATCATTTTGAAACTACAAGATAGACCTACATTTGTTATGAAGACATTGAAGTCCAGTTTAGTCGTTTTCATTGTCAAAAAGTTGAAATACAGAAGCAAAATTTCATTGTCGAAAGTTGAAACAGGGGATTGACCAGTTGAGGGTATTTTGTCCATTTCTGAGTCCACAAAGCTGAAAATTGGATGATTATTGATGCATTGGAAAGCTAACTCAAAGGGCTACAACTTTCATATTTTTCACAAGAACTAGTTCAGCCTCCATCATCAAGAAATTGTCAGTTGAAGTTGGTACAAAAATAGAGTGAGGATGAATTTTGCCCAGAAAGTGCAAACCTGTAATGGAGAAAATGTGAGGTGAAATACGCGACCTAAGATCATGTATTTGAGGTCACGTATTCTAGTTTTTCTGCTACAACTTGCTCTGCAACTTGTTTTGCATTCACACAACCTTTCCAACTCATCTACAACTCAGAATTTTGGCTCTATCTGACCAAGAAGAGTGTGGAAACTTGGAGAATAACTCTTGTTGAGTTCAAAAGCCAACTTTATCAACCAAGAAACAACTCACCTTGAGCTTGAATTCTCTATAAACAGCAGTCTTTGGGGAACATTTTCATAATTTTGGAAGGCTAGAGAAACTCCACAAAAATGTAGTCTTCACTAGAATTTCCGTAGTTCATTAGTTAGAGTAGTATAGTATAGTTAGTATAGCTTTTCCTTCTTGTATTTGTAGTTAGACTTAAATGAAAATTGGAGGAGCAAAAATGGGGAGTTGGAACTCATGTGACAAGAGTGAATTCTCTTTTGTATTTGAGTTCATGTTTATCTATAATACAAGTTTGGATTTGTGTTTTTATATGTGTTTCTAAAGTTTATGCCTAGAGTTATGGATGAACTTTCTATATTTTACTTGTGATATTTAATTGGTTATTTGATGATGTTATATTGAGCAAGTTATTTATTACTTTTGCTTATCTAATCATGATTAACTAGCCATTAATTGTGAAATTTTAAGGTGTTAAGTTTGCAATAAGAATTGAAATTTAACACTAATTCAAGAAAGC